CATATACCTAGTAACATATTTTATTACAACAGTAACACGTAACGCGGTTCAGTATAATATAATATATATATATATATATATGATATATTTTTAACCGCTTTTAAATTTGTTGTGATATCAAATCGAACAACGCAAATGTTAACAATATGGTAACAATAACCACAATTATATATAATTAAAAAAAAAAAAAAAAATAATAACAAATTCATAAGAGTAAAATATGGAATTGGATGGATATGTAGTACATTTTAAGTATAAGTAAATTATTATTATTATTTCAATCACATATTTTATATTACGAGTATACTAGTAGGTAAGTATATTTTTTTCGCGATAAACGCGTCGAAATTTAATGAAATAACACACAAAACAGACGCATCTTCAGATGTGCGAGAAAAACTAATTTTAAACATTTGATATGACGAAACACCACTAAACGAAAAACTGTCATCGATGATAATATTAACAATATTATCATGATGAACAGCGCTAGAGATATACAATGTACACGATTACATACGTTATGGCGGAATGTAATATAGAACACTGTTTTGTCGGGATTCGCTAAATGTCCAACCTATTTGCAAAGGTCTGCTGAGAAAGTAGATACATATTACCTATGTAATTATATTATAGTCTTTAAGAATTGTGTACGGTTTTATTCAAAACAAAGCGTTTGTCGCCTGCATTGAGTTATGTTTTAAATTAATTCTAACACGAAATATATCTAATTAAGTTGAGTCTATATTATGTTCTCTGATTTTTATTTCGTGTTATTTATTAGTGTTAAGTGGAATAGTATTCGAAAATATGAAACACAATAGGTACGTGGTTTGTGACTAACGAAATTAATTCAAGTTATTAAATTATATTTTTATCCGTAGCTAATTGATATAATTATTTTAATATACGTAATACAACTATTCTAGAGTGATGTAAAACAGCGTGATTCTTTTGGCGTTTTCACTAATTTCTGGCGAGTTAGATAGGCATAATACTATAAAAGGTATGTATTGTCCCGTCAAAAATCAACGGATTTTCACCTACCATTTCGAGTTGTGAATCACCCTGTAGAACGTTTCATTACTACCATATTATGATATTATAATATAACGTAATTTTTACACCGACAAACACACTGCAGTGTAGATTAATATAGTATATATTCGATTAAAATAATGACACACAATAAAGGTCTTAAAATTACAGTCTTATTAAATTACTCTAGTTTTGAGAAAATTAACTTTCCGAATTTATCAACAATCGGATTCAGGAATATTATACTGTAAATAGTTTTTCGATGAACATATTTATGTGTATTTGAAAAATAATCGACTTTTATATTCGAAGTAAATCTTAAAGTATATTAAAGTAAAAAATATATTCTTAAACAACTAAACAAATCTCACGGAAACATCATAGACGTAAATTATTATTGTATTTTTCCTACCGCATCAATCATTAACAAATACAAATAACTACGTATTTATTGTATATAAATGTATTTGTTTAAATTCGAAATTATTTCAACGATACACTTATTCAACCTCAAATCTTAATAATAATTACAACACACTAGAATCATTATTAAACGTTGTTAATAGTGCTTGAATCGAGTGAGGTGCGATGGGACGAAGTCCCTCTTCTGTTAAAAAAATATCGATTGTGTAGGTACTTCATCTAATACTATGATCCAACCAATGGACATTTAAATATTCAGGTATGCACATTTTTTTCACTCTTTCACACTCCCCTAGTGATTTTTTTCCCAATTTAAGCCTAGTATATAAAGGGTCATATGAAAAATCTATATGAATTCATTCACCGTCATCTATGCAGGTGATTTATAAATTTTATTCGTACACGACGTCAATCATATACCACATAATATTACATTATATAATGTAAGCGACACATATTTTTTTTTTAATTTTGAGCACAATACTGCAGTATTTAAATGGTGGCAATATTTTATCATTATGTATACTGTCATGTGGTTTAATCCCGGATTTAAGTGTATTGTACAATCTGGCACATGTGTGCAGGAATTGAGTTCGTTTATTAGTTATCGCTATTACAGTACTGAATTTTTACCCAGAATTATTTAAAATGTAGTAGTACGTTTCACTGGATTATCCATTACGTAATTTTTGTTTAAAGTGAAATTTTAATTATTAAAGCGCCTTTTATGATTATTATTTTATGTTATACAAGGAATCGTACCTACGTATAATTTTGAACATACCATTGAACACAGTTAATTATTACCGTATAAACGTTTAACATAATATAATTAATAAATAAATCGTTTTTACGTGAACACAAAATTAATATAAACAATGACAAAATATTCAGGAATGTTTATTTCCTTAAAATTCGATAATAGTAGATATGACATCATGTTATCCAACAAAAATTTCTAAAGTTAAGATACGACTATATTTAGTACAAGCTACATAAATATACAATAATATTAAAAAAAAAAAGTAGTTGGTTAATGTTACGTTCGTAATGATGGTATTATACTCATATGTAGAAATTTTAAATATTTTATAATTATTTAATTATTATAGTAATAGATTATTATGCTCTGAAACGATGTACAGTCAATTAACATAATTGATAGGTAACATCTAATAATAATGAGTGAAAACCAATTGATATTAATTCGATTAAAAAACGACCAAATCCGTTAAGATTTATAAGATGTTTTTTTCGTTTAGGTACTTTTCTTTAATAAAATTTTTCAATTGAGCTTGCGGTTTTAAAAAGTGTACAATAATTGTTTTATTTCAAATAAAAATCAAATATACCTATTTTTTTTTAAACATAGTTATGCATTATTTATACAGTCGATTTATAATATTAAATACATACGTTGAAACTATTATATAATTGTACGGTATATCGATCTACGTTTGTAACTATAGTATATAGTTTGTTAAATTTTTATATTTTTATACGAATCATCATTATTATTGTGCGTAAGTATTATGTAAAAAAAAAATAAAATAGTTCAATTTGTTTTCAAAACTACATAAGCCAGTAACCATCATATAACACCATTTATTAATGTATTTACAGACTTATTATAATATATTGTTTTTAATTAAATGTGATTTCTAACCAGTGCGACGTAAAAATAATAATTGAAAATGTACATTGTTTGAATAGGCATAACAACCTTTTGTTCAGTACCTACCTAATACAAATGAACGAATAAATGGTGAGATTCTTAACAATTTTTCGATAATTTATGACATCAACGGTATAAAATTTAAAAACAAATTTTATTGAAAACTTACACGATTGTGCACACTTCGAGAACACCAGAGTTGGCTGATATCTTAAAACAATTAGATACATATTACTTACATAATAGGTACCGTTTCGATATGATTTTAAACCCCGTGGAAGCCCTTAGAACAGTTATACCTAATTTTAATGCTTTTCACCATCGTTGATTTTACAAAACGATAATAGCTATTAGAAATTATTGGATCATAACGTTATTTCGTTAATCGTACATTAAACTGCTATGTCTAACATTAAATATCAAAAGACGAGTATAGTCTTGTTAATAACAGATTTATGTATAATTCAAATCTGACACGTGTACGTGGGAACACGAACGAAAGCAAAAATCAAAATACATTGAAGTGTTAAAGTGATGATTGATTGAAAGCACGGTGTGAAATGATAGATTACAGAAACCACCGCGATGCAATTTAATCTCATAATCCTATACGAAACGAAATGACATATCGTAATGTTTAATGACTGATTAGCGATTTTCGTTCGAATGGCGTAAAAACACTTAGCTTAGTTACAGTAATAGTTTAAACGTTTAAAACACTTCATTTATATCGTGAATCATCATAATAATAAACATACGTAAAGCACCATTCAGGAAAATAACGATGCATATCCATTATACACTGTCTATATAACGAGATCCTATATTTTAGTTTGTGCGTATTTGGTAAACGTATTGAAAAAACATTGGACGGCGTTCAAACGTTATACTAAATACGATATGAACGTATAGTAATTAATAATTAGTAATTAATAGGCGTGTACCTTTACATGATATTTTAAACGTAGATATTATAATAGATTCGTTATGCAGTAGGTAGTACGTGTAAGTATATAATAGTCACGTGAACGTATAGTACCTAATTATTACATTTATTATAATAATATGTTGTACTGCAGTGTAGTGGTTATAGTGACATATTCAAGAGGGAAATTAGGCAATCTGATTATTGTTTCTAGTGCACATTTTTAAAGGATAGGAACAACGTTTTTAATGAGTTATGTTTGAAGTTACATGTCTATGTTTATCATTCATAGTTTTTTTGATATTATAGTTTAAGGGAGTAAATAGTAAACAGACGAGTATACTATGCGCTTAAGTAAAGTGCATATTTTCGATGGGGACGTGACACCCAATCGATTATGTTCGTATAGTATTATATGTGATTATTGTGCATGACGATCGTTCCACCATTTGAAAGTTAAGTTTATGTGGATGAACTGTATTTAATAGTCGGGACAGGTCAAGTTAGGTTTACAATAGGTACAATGAATACATTACGGGCGACATAGAGTACTGAATATTTGGTTCCGTGCAATCAATTTGATTCGTGAATACAAACGAATTATTTTTATGCAATATTTTGTAAGCATTACATTTGTTATTAAGTACTATAAACATTGATAAAAAAAAAATAAAATAAAATAAAACAAAAATAATAGCAATTAGTTATAATAATCATGTTAATCATAAATCTACTTAATATTGGTGGCACAATGTTATATACGAAATAAATAAATAATTATTTATACACGATTCACTAGAATTTCACTTGAAATCGAAGTCTTTCTGCTTTTCTACACTCGCATTTATATTTACTCTGATAATTCGAGTTTTATCATCATCATTAAAATTATTTTAAAATATTCGAAATATAACATAGTTATCAGTAATAAATTAAACTTGTTTTTCTATTTATATTAAAAACGATAAGTTTGAGAAAATATTGCACAAAAAAAATTACTCGTACCTTGCACTTACGATTCAAATAGTTGGATTAGCAGGACAAAATTGCCCGTAACGTTTATAATATAACGGCGGCTGAGTACCTCTAGGTAAATGTTAGTAAGTAAGTATAATAGGTATACGGAACACGTAACACATTAATTAATTGATTATATTATAAACGACGGCGTGTGGTTTTTTTTTCGATCTTATATTATAGGACGTTGAGAAAGTTGACTTTTTTCTGCATGGCTTTCTGTTCGCCGTCCAATAACACGGAATCTGTGATCGGCGAACTTCCCAGGTTCTCCAGCAGCCTCCGGCTCCTGGTCGGCATGTCCGGCAACAGCGGCATGGCGTGCGGGGGCGTGTAATCGCCAACCCCGCAGCCAGCCGCAGTTCCGTACTCGCCGTAGGCGCCACCGCGGCGGACGTAATCCTCGGCGGCCACCGCAGCGGCGGTCCGGAACGTGGATGCGATCCGCTCCATTGACCGTTCCTCGGCTATCTTTTCGGCCGCGCGCGCAAACACTTGGCACTCGTCCTCGGTCATCGGACGCCGTCCCGCGTAGCAGCCACCTGTATATAGGTACGATATATGCACAAAACGCCCCCGTCACGCTTTCCCATATCGGTTCCACTTATATAGGTAAGTTATATGTATATATACGTAGTATATACACACAGTAGAAATCGAGCATATTATAACGACACCGTCAATTTCGCGGTCCAGCGTGTGATTTTGATAAAAATTAACAACTCTACAGCAGACGTGATATTATTAATAATTACTATAGGTAGTCGAATATCGATGAATGAAACCTTTGATAGTTCAAAACTTTTGATAATTTTGGGTATACATAATTTTGGACATAATATATAGAGGCAGATGATAGGTAATCGTAACGCTTTTATTTGGGCGTGACTGCGAATCGATGTGAAAAGTAGACATCACTTGATCTTCGTAAGAGAAGATGCAAAGCTCAAGAGTATTTAAGAGGCATATTATACTATTTTTCTATAATCAAAGTAAAAAAGCACAGACGATCACACTGCAGTTATTCAATGATTAACGATAAAAGTTCTAATATTGGTCGCACTATAGATGTGAGAATAGAAATGTAGAATTACAAAATCCTTCTATTTTTTACTATTGTAAAGTTCACAATAGCCTTCATTTTAACTAATGCAGTACATTATTTCTTCCTTACAAAATAAGGAACAATCACTCGACTTAAACGGAATTCAGAGTTGTAAGAAATTTTACCACTAGATATTTCTGGAATGTCTTGGAAGTAAACAGATACCTAACATTAGTGTATTTACAGCTATGTTATGTATCTATTTTATGTACATATAATACTCGTATATATGACATATTTTATACTTTTCATAACTCTCGGTGATTCGAATATATTTCTTTTTTTTTGACCTCTCGATATTTTAACCTCTTGGCTTGGCTTTTAGCATGTTAAACATTTAGTTATTCGAAGTTTTTCATAATTCCTTACAACTTTGAATCAAGAGTTGACTTTATAATATAGACTCTGACGATTTACTAGGTAGTACAACTAATGCACTTAAGTATTTAAAGATATCATGCTGCAAAGATTAGATGAATCAATTAAGTTAAATATTTATCGGAGAAAATTCAAAAAAATCTAAAAAAATATATATTTTTTAAAAGGATAATAAATGTGCATTTTGATATATGTATTTAATAGTATTATATATTATGATTATAGCATCTATTCTTATTACATTTTTATATGACATATTAATTCTTACCTAGTGGATATAATTTTTTATAAATAATATATACTAAATATAAGTTAGTATATAACACGTCGAATTAGACATCATTTTTACTCTTTACTTCAATGTTGTTATAACCGATTTCTACTGTATATATATATTATACATTCATGCAATTTAAACACATATATTACATATTATATTAAATATAAATATATATAACATGAAGGTATAGTTGCTTAATACACGTACACACACACAATACATCCCTACCACATTGTATATATATATATATATATATCATGATTCATGATATATTATGGAAGTTATTTCTTCCAGTTGACTTTACTTACATAGTAATTTATTTTATTTATGCCGGATATTCTTAAAATCTACGCAAGTAAAATGACTACCGTACTATAATTTTTAGTGGAAACTTTGAAAACGTCTGATGTATTCTGTATACTAATTTATGTTGTATAACTTCCCAAGATATCACTAGAAACAGTAGAAAACCAATTTAACCAATTTAAATATATATATATATAATATATATAAATATATATGACGATTGACGGCAGATATTTAGAATATACGTATTTTATTATAATATATTATTCTATATTCTAACAGAGATTATCATCAGTGAAAACTTTTGTGACTCGTTGATTTTCTATTTTAAAAATACACTAAAAATTTGTAAAAAATCAACAATTTATTAAAAGTGTTTGGTAAAGTTTTAAAAACACAAATTAATATAAAAACAAGATAATGTTTGAAAATTTACGTCTAGAAATACGATTTATGTGCCTATACTATTGTTTTCATTTATCATTATTAACTATTTATAAATTATAAGCAAAATACAACGTAATTATACTGAAACCATAATACAGTAAAATCCGTTTAAGACGCTTTCCAAGGGACCAAGTAAAAATAACGTATTAAACGATAAATCGTATTACGCTGGAAAACCAGAAAGTTGACAAATAAAAATTGTACATATAATTTTGAATTTTTTATTTTAATTACATTTATATTGTATTATTATTATTTCAATTTCAAGTATAGTGTACTAATACATACCTACGTCATACATACTTTTATTAAATTTTATTTTTATTATTTCAAATTATATATTACCTATAATTTAAATTCACATACATACCTATAAATTACATATTTTATTTTAAATCAAAAAAATTATCAATTTTTGTTAGTTTTGCATTTTTAATATTTTTGAGTAGAGGAAGTTTTCAATTTTATCAAGATTTTATAGTGCTTCATCTACATTGTAAGAAGATGCAATTAATCTTTTTAGTTCTTGCACATGATCAAGTGCATTTGTTGCGAGGAGATAACGAGTGATTAGTAGTGTACGTATATTAAAAGCTCATCCTTATTGTATGCCATGTACACATCATATAGTGTATACTAAGTTGCAGCGCCTTATTGAATCAATAATCATATTGTACATTATTTTGATTATTAATTTTATACTACATAACATCATTGACATAGAGCGTCTTATCCGGAAATATAAAGCGTATTATCCGGAATCATTTATATGTTAATCACTATCAAAATCAAGGCACTCGTAAAATTGAGCGTATTACGCAGGAAATTGTATTATGCGAGAGCGTCTTAAACGGATTCTACTGTATATAGTAAAATATTGGTTGTAATTTCTTTTCTCAAAATTTGGTACATTAAACGGTTTGTACGGTTTTACAAATTATTTCCATATAGGTAATATAAACGAACCAACATTTCAAGACAGTATTCCCACTGTAAAAGGAAAACATTATATTATAGTTCAAATATGATTTATTTTATCACCATAATACACCACGTGTTCATTTTTTTTTTTTTTACTATAGTATAGCATATATAAACCGTCTGTTTATGGTGTGCCGAGATTTTAATTACGGAATTAATACAACAGCAATTAGTCATAATTAATGAGTGACTTAATTAAATATGTATTCATTTGCAGTTATGGTATTGTATGTTATGTTTTTGATAAAACAATCAAAGGTTTAATTTTGATATACACAAACTATACCAACATATAATACAATATATAAAGCGTCTGATGCTATAGATACCTGTATTGTGTGTGTATGCATGTATTATATATAAGGTATTTTTTATAGCAGGAATTTTTCGTTCCCCTTCTTATGAAAAGTACCATAAATAGGTCTATATAAAGCGAGACGATCTCCGAGAAAAATGTATACAAGCTCGTTTAGGAGACGACGATCAATACGAGTATCGTGGCCTGTGCCTTTTTTTTCTGCGTCCGTAATAGAAATTATGTAATGATGAAAAAAAAACACTGCTGTTACTATTCTGGATGATATGGAAATATATAACAATATACATCATACCTACCACATTATACATGGTAATGTTAAAGAAGATGTCGTCTCCGAAATGAGTGCAACCATTTTTCGCACTGAGAATTATGTAGGTGTAGGCCCACTTATAAAGGATTTATCGCTCAACATTTATCGTGCACGACATATAATATTATATATATCATAACACAATATATACCATACGTTTATGAAGTAACACAATCAAACATAATATCAAATAAATGGAAAAGGCATTTCTATATCTTCGCTAAACATACGCTTTATGCCAACACAACGAAGAGGGAAACGTTTGTTGTCACTTGCACAGAGACTTCTGAGCAATGAAGAAACTAATATTTAGATCAAATAGAGAATAGATGTAACGATGTTTCAAAGGTTTAACAACGGTATTAGTTGTGTTGGCTTACATATTTTCATACAACGCTGTGTATCCATAAATTTAATATCGATGAACACAAATAACATCACTGCTTAAGAAAGGTGCTTTAATCGTAAACATTGCAGATAATGTTATTTTAATTTACGAACAATATAATACACAAATACTCGCCTAACCCTATATTACCATAATAATATTCTCTAAAATTATGTATTTGGCAATATTATAATATTATTATCGTTGAACCAATGATAACATCCGCTCCGTTTCGCGGTTAATATTAATTATATATAGATTTAGAGATGGGAGCTCGGTAAACCATGTAAATGATTTTGTTTTTCATATTAACTGATTTAATCAATGATAATTATAATACTATTGAGCTTGTAATAAACGCATTAATTGAAACATTAATTTTTTCCCTTTACTGGTGAAAACATTTTACGCACAATTTACCGAAAATTTATTAGGGTTAGACTCCCATCACTATTTATTAAATAATAAGTGTTGTTATTATCGTAGAACATATGAAAATACGATCACGCACTTGCATAGGTATAATACTTATGATGTATTATTATATTGCCGGTTTTTTATTGATTCAAAGTTTTATATGTACCTGCAGCGGACAGCGATGGCAGCATGGAAGACGAATACTCGTGTTCGGCGTTCTCTCGGATCCGGGCCAGGCGTAAAAGCTCCTCATGTAGTCGGACGTTGTCCTCGATCTGCCGCCGACGCCGGGCGATCTCTGCCTTGATCCTGGCCTTTTTCTCCTCGCGTTGCAGCTCTTCATCGTGTTCCTCCTCGGCGGCCAACGCCGCCAGCGATTCGTAGTCACCTCCACCGCCGTAGTCGTCCATGTAGTCGCAGTAGCCTCCATAGCCACCGTAACCACCGCCATCGTCGCCACCGCTTAGGTAGGCGGTTGGTGTTGGCGACGGCGACGGGTCCCACGAACGGGACCGTCGGCCGGCTGTGCCGTACTTCATCATTGCCGCTGTCTGCAGGTGTTGGTGGTAGTCGTACGACCGTCGTGAGTCCGAATCGCCGCCGCCATCGCTGTACCGCCGCTGCCGGCGGTTGTGCCGCCGAACGTCCCATCTACGGTAGATAAAACATATATATTTGTAAGCCAATGTGCAAAAGGATTATAAGTTTTAACTGAATAATTCAACAACTGATTTATAATCCAATAACAGCGAAAACTACTGTGTCGATTTGATTTGAAATCTTGATAAAGTGTATTACTATTATTACTATGCATATATAAGCGCACTGAGGAACAATTTTATGAAATTCGCATTTTAAAGAGCAGCTCACACAGGGATTTTTTGATTCATAAAGAGCGAATACTTTTTTTTTACATAGAGTATGAATTATTACAGAAAATAAAATAGTTTAAATGATAGTACATCATTTTAAATCTGTATTTTTTATTTGGTTTATAAAATTTAAAAAAACTTTATTAGAAATACGTGTAGTTTACTTTAATGAAATTTAATACAAGAGTAAATCCAGAATCAGCTAGTAAATCATATAAAATCAAAACGATGTGTCAGAGACAACCGTCGAATTGGCACTGACACTAAATGCTACGACCTAAAATATACATAAATTGTTTCTAATATTCATTCGATACACATTCAACTATTAATAAATCGAATTTCAAGAGAAATAAAAACAAACTTTACTCGTGTATTTTTTTAGTTTTATATTTTAAACACAAAGGATAATAAAAAAATCAAGTTTTAGCGACTACTTGATTGTATTATAATATAATATATGTATATATATTATTCACTACATTTTTCTCTGCTTTTTATATAACTCGTTTCAATGTGCATTTGAACAAAAGATTGGTGTAAGAAAATTCATTATTTTAAGGGTATTAAAGAAAACTGATAGAAGTAATTTATAAAAATAGTATAGCAAAATTTAGTGGATTCGTAGAAAAATGTTTGATTTTTATTTTGAGGTATTTGAATAATATGCTAGTTTTACAACATTAAAATAACGATTGTTTATTTTCGATGTATTGTAAAAAAATAGGTAAGTAATACATTTTGAAAATGGTAGGTATAGCAAAATGCAGCAAAATATTGATGTATGGTTTTCGTACCAATTTTACATAAGTTTGTTGTAGCTGTAACGATATTGTTGTGTACATGATGGGTAAGAGACCTAATAAAGATTAGCAGAGAGACTATCTGATCAGCAGTTTCGAAAATTTCACGATGGGCCTATTGAATAGGTTAGGAATCGTGGAGCTAGACCTTTTTTGTCGTATTGAAAGTAAAGAATTAACAACTTATCCTTATTTCTTTGTATTATAATTATCATTTTTACTCATTATAAAATTTTTAAAATACAAATTATACAATAAAAATAATGCTCTGTATTTACGAGATGATTTGTTTTACCAAGAAACTGTAATAAAATTAACAATACTTATTCTTATACAAGTAAAAACTATTTATAATAGAAATAGTATGGCGTATGACAATCTAGAAACTTTTGTTTTAATAACTACAGAAAAAAGTACTATATTATGTTTAAATGATTACAAAGTGTATAACTGTAAGGACCAATTTATAATATAATATAAAATATTCATATAGATTTAGAATTTTCAAATAGTGTTGGTACAGTTAAATTGTGAATTTAATTTTAAAGTTGTATTAAACATACACGGGTTATTGCACTTAGTCTATAATAACCTAAATCTAAAACCATAATATAAGAATCATAAATGTTTCAACTTTGATCTCTGCTTTTAGTTGGCGGTCATATGTATAAAGTCTAATAATACTCAAAATCATGATTTTGAATGTACGACAGTATGCTAACGTTACATAAGAAAAATTGATTATTTTTAGTTATTCTAAATTTACGTTTACCTATATATTTTTTCGTTAAATCATCATAAAATGTGTAAGAAAAAAAATAAAACTTTGCTCAACTAAACAGCTACTTCTAAGTGTTTATTATTTGGTACAAACGGTTCATAAAAAATAAAAATATGTAATTAATATCCATGGTAATTATTTTTATAGGGTTCTTCCAAAATCATATTTACCCTAATCAATAAGTTCGAAGGTAACATAAACTATGACTTACCTTTTTTGATCGGCTGTAGCGGAATTTATCACACTGTTCGTCGTGCGGCGGTGGCCATTGTGATCGTAAATCGCTGCCGATGAACCGATGGCGGTCTCGCGCAAAGCGCCGCCCAGATAACCAGATCCACCACTGCTGTCGGGCCAGTGTCGCCAAGACGTCGAAGACGACGGATCTTCGCCACCACCGTATGATCTGGACCTCGGTCTAGATGGCATGAAGTCCTATCACGAACACATATCGTATTAAATAGTGTGATATTGATAACGTTAGGAAATAACCGTGGTCATGGTCGAGCGTGCACACGGGGCTGACTAGGATTAATTATCTAATTATAAGTCATCCAGTAATTTTTATGAAATACAAAACACATACGATTACATTAATAAATATATAGCTATAACTCTTGGAGTTAGTTTCATTATTGTATTTCGAGTTTTTCACTTCAATATTTTATGAAAATGTTTACATTCATTTGTAGAATGTTTTCATAATAATATTATACTAAACTTAATAACATAAAATAATACTGAAACCAATAATTAACATCGGTCCAGGCGGCGATCGCCACATCCGTCCGTGGGTTGTGGTGGGCCCGCGTGTGGTAACTGCATGACACAATATACTTACAGAATTTCTGCCGCTGTAACCTCCGCCCAACCCGACATCGTCCAGCAATAATGCGGCAACCGTGGCGTCGTCATGCTGCTGTAATCGCAGCAAGTCGTCGTCGTCGTACACGTCCGACAAGTGTTTGGAACCGCCCAATCCTCTGATAAGTCGTGCGCCACTGCTGCCAGTTTGTCGTTGATGCTGGTTCTGGTACCATCTTCTTTCCAGGTGGTCAGGACTGTACATACAAAACAAATAGGTATAGCGGACGCCACATATTATTGATAATACTGTCATAGCACCACGACGGTTGGTCGTATTGGATATTATTCATATCAGTCATAACTCAAAAATCAATTAGGTGTAATATTTGTTTTAGGTAGGATTTGAATACATAGATAACTAGCAGCTGTATAACCCGACTTTATCTAGGTCAAAATTAATTTATCTTTCTATTGTTTTACATTTTTCTTCAATTGAAATATATACGTAAAACAAAAACAACATTACTAAATGATTAATTTTGTGATTTTCCATTTCTTAACTCTGGACATAGTTTTAAGGAGAACAAATAAAACTAAAGGCAATTATTATATTCAATTAATACTTAAATGCAGACGTGAATTCAATACCGTTAAGATGTATGTGTTTACATAAAAAATTCAGAATTAAAAAATTTACATAATGATTGCAAATTATAAAAGTAATCATTGTAATTTCATTTATATGTAATTACTATCTGATAATAATCTATATTTTGTTTATTTTTTAAGGTATATTTAAAAAATATTTTATACTCCATATTTCTACTAATTATAACACTATTATAGTAATAATATGTTCTATAACCAATGGCAGTCATTTGAATAACAAAAATAAATATTAAATTTTCGTAAGCAAAAACTCAATTCACGTACAAGTCACACTATATCAACCTATAGATATAGGAGTTGGCTTACCTTAATACCCTTCGAGTTTTAAAACCTATTAAAGTAGTTTTTTTAAAAATGGTCCAGTAACTTTTAAATATATATAATAGACAAACAAACAATGAAACTTTTATAAATACGTATATTTACGTAAAAAGTATTTGCATATTTGTTATTTTTTTATTTCATTCTATTCATTATTATTTAGTAGTCACTTTTATAACAAAAAAATATTATTTTCAATTCAATACTATATGCTAAGAAAATATAACTGTCAATTTGCTCAGAAAAAGCTTTATCGCGATCAATCATAAAGCTGATATGTAGTTATTGAATTGCAGATATGGTAAATTCTATTTCATAAATAATATTCAATAAAGCTTTTATTTCACTAATATAACATATTGTATATTATTAATAACCTAATGCCATGTCACAGAACGAGTAATAAATAACAAATAACAATATATTGAATGACAATATGTTTATAAGAAATGTGATGTATACTAGCTGAGAAGATAATAGAATTCTTTTACAACTGAAATTTTCAAATTGCCATTTAAATTTAAAAGTCAAGGGTTTTTGAATATTCATCAATTTATTTACCATGTGCTCAGACATTTACCATTCTAAAATTAAAAAAAAAAAAACAAAGATACTCTGTCGACCATAATAAGTGTTGAGTATATATCACGTTATTGAATTAAGGCCATTGTAACGGATGTATTCAATTTAAATTCAATTGAAAATCATTGTACCAATATGGAAGACAATTCTGAGTGAAGAAGATAGATGATCAGTATTTATTCCGAAGTAACTACTAAAATAATAGGGAATGTTTTAAATTTCTAAAATTTAAATGTTTTGAAAAAAATATATAACATTAAATTGTTATTTTAAATTTAAGTATAAAACTTAAATAAGTGTGAACAAAAAAAAAAAATAAATAAATAAATGACAATACATTTTAGGTTAATTTAATTTTTGGTAAAAAAAATTAATAAAAACTCTTTTATTAAATTAAAAATAAATTTCAATAGAAAAAAAAAAATGAAAACTTAATTCAAGTTTTCTCACAAATACTTATTTACCAACTAAAAAATTTTGAAAATTCATTGTCACAATATTTTTTGATAAGTGTTTAAATTTAGAATTTTTACTAACGAATCATTTTTCATATGCGATGATATATCATTAAATTACAATTTAACACTTCCATTACAAAATAAACTCATTTTTCTCTAAGAATAATTGATATTGTTATCATCCGCTGTCCATTATCCTTCATAAAAAAGGGTTACTTTATTTTTTCCTCTAACCATATTTCTGAACATAATTTGATGTCAAAAATTAAAAATTGAACATTTTATTTTTTATTAGGTGTGGAAATTTAATAAAAAGTTCATTCACATATATATAGTTCATACGTAAACCAAAAAATATAAAAATATACAAACGTATTTTTTTTTTATAAATATTTGCTAATATTCAAATAATAATGAAATTGGATAGGTACTTAAATAAATAATAATAATTTTAGTTATTTTGTTATAATTCAAAAATATTATTTGTGTGACCTTGAATCTTTTACATATATTATTATATTTTACAAAACATAATAGTCAATGACATTTTTAAAGTACTCAAATTAATAACAGAAAAAAAATGTATAGAACTTGTTTTATTCATTAGTTTCATGGAATTTGGTTACAATTTCTATAAATCATATTCGTCGTATATAATATATTTTATGACACACTTACACGTTACTGGTCGAACAGCGGTATAGCAGACTGTTTCCGTCATAGACGCCACCCAATGATCTCGCGGCACTCATCGTCCTACCCCCGCCACTGCTGCGGTAGTGGCTTGTGTCCAAGCCTCCGAGACCCATGACGCCGCCGCCTCCACCAAACAGAGCGGCTGTCTGCCTCCCGGTGCTGCCGACGCGACGGTCTATGGCTGACGAATAACCAATGCCGGTGTCGTCGTGATAAGACCACGTTGACGTCGATGACCACGGTTTCCTGACTCCGCCTGCGCCGTACAAGCTCATCGCGGCCGAGTTGTTCTGTAATCAACATTTTTTAATAGTTGCAAATCCGATGGGTCAATCATAAAGCAAAGACCGGCACGACACTGTTACTGCAGTCTTGTAAAATACTCGATTAAAAGTATTTAAATAACTTTTTAATACTCAAGTATACATTTAAAACACGTTTGAAAAAAGTAAATATACTTGGATTTTGGACAAAGTATTTTAAATCATTTATCTCAGTAACTGTATTCAAAATCAAAAACTATTTCTATTTTTATTTTTATATACTCGTACTTAAGTTTTCAATTTAATCATGTTAAATGAAAAGAAAAATTGATGAATGGACGTATACATATTTTGATTGAGAAAATACAAGCTAAATAAAAATTATTATATTAAATTAAATTGAATTGAATTATTATTATAAACTTTCCAGATTTTAAATTTTAATTTTAATAAACTTGGAAAATAATACTTTTGTCTTAAATAATTTCATCATTTGAGCACTAATTTGTGTTTTGTGTTAATCTAGCCTTTTTTGATCGTACACAGTTTAATAACAGTATTATATATGGTACGATTCGTACCGAGTGGCATCAAACTTCTAAAAACAAGCTAGGGTCAAATAAAACTACAACGGCTCCAAGCCTGTCATGTGACCACAAATCTATATTTTTACTTCGAGTAGGAAAAATATTTTTGAAAGTTTAATTTGTTGAATTTTCGAAGAAAATATTGATTACGCAGCGCAATATACTTTTATTGTATATACATATGTCTATTGTCTACAGTCTAAATCTTTTAAATAAGTATAAATTTATTTATCATTTTTATTAAATAATTATACACATTCAAGTATGAATTTCAAATCATAGCTGTTCAATACTTGTTAACGTTTTTAAAAAAGTTGTCGGGCCAAGTCAATGAACACGGTTTTACTCGTACATAGTAGTTCTAGTATCTTGTACAATATTATCACTCTTACAGTCAACTATTGATGTATAAGAAACAAGAATGATAATTCAATATATAATATGAAATAGTTTAATTAAAAAATATAAATATATATATTTCCAAATTACTGTGTATGCATATCTATTATCTGAATGTTAATGAGAATATACTATATAATCGTATTACATAATAGTTAGTTCATATTATGAGTGCTATCTCAAAACCAACCTCCAAAATATAGAAAATACTTAAGAAACTATATAAAACATACATAATAAAATAAAAAAGAATAGTTATTATTAAAAAGTACGAGTTTCTTTTATTATTTTTTTATTTTTTTGAGTGACTTTAACTCGTAATCAAAAATTCAAATAACTTGTACGAAGAAAACAGATGAATTATTTATAACTGCATTAAATGTATCATAATATGTGTAAAATTGTCTGTATAATTAATGCAACTAAAACACTAAAACACAAAACACAATCAGATATTATTGTATTCAAATAAAAATATATTTTATCTAGATAAAAACAGGTCATTTACGGTGCGTCTATTTATATATTTATTCAAAAAAAAAAGTGTTCTCAATCGTTTCCAAAGGTATAGTGCTCAATCGTAATAGCCCTTTTTATTAAAATTCTCGTTTGTTTAACTCTATACATAGTTATTTAGTTGATTTAACTTTGTAATGATTTACATCTTATATACAGCAGGCTAGCATCAAACGTAGTTGAGAAAATTGTATTCGGATCTCCTTTAAACCTGAAAGGGAAAATACGTATTGAATATATAGTCAGTAGTATATGTTCTTTATTCGTTTGATCGCAAAATGCGATCAAAAGCAGCTCTTATTTATAGAAAAAGATAAAATACAAGGTTTGCTCTCTCCAGAAGAGGTATCCCAGTGTGGTGGTATTTGTCGGAACCCGGGTTCGGCGGTTCCTGTAGAACCGCGGTATTAGTGTTCACTATATATATATAGCTACCAAACCCATAATCGCGGTCAGGTTCGCAGTGCCTCAAGAGCATACACATCATTGGGACGTGTGCTCGACGTGGCGCGCGGCATTCGTCGGGGATTCACGACTCGACTCAGACGGCGTTTCAGCGAGACCGCGTGCTGCTGCGGCTACGTACCGTACAATCCGAAACTGGCCGGCGGCCCGCCGTGCCGGTGGTTCTGGTTCTGCAGATGGCAGCTTCGCGGCGGCCGCGGAGTAGTGCGGCGGCGGCACGGACCTGTCGGCGTAATGCATCATCGCGGTGGCCGCGATGCCAACCGCCGAGGGTGACGGTCGCGCGCCGGCCACTCAACCGCGTCGGGGCCGTGAGCCCGCGCGACGTCCGCCGCTGAAGTGGCGCCGCACGAGCGTGTGCGACGTCGGCACGGCCACTCGGCCAGCAGCCCGGCGAGCCGGACGAACGCTGCTGCGGCGACTGGGGCGCGCGGGTTCGACGGCGGCACGGCCGCCGCCCGACGACCGCGGGTGTGGTAACGACGCGTGCATGTGCGCGGCGGCGGCGGCTGTGGCGGGCAGACGCGAAAAAGCTTCCGGCGACGCGCGGAAGACGGCGTGAGGAGCGACCGCGCGGAAAACGCCGATCGTCAATCAGATATATGAGCGTTGGCTATGAAACATAATAAACAAATTGTGGCGTTACAGTGCGACGACGGAGCAGGCGCAGCGACACGCGGACACGACGCGGTCTCGCAGCGACGTGAGCAACGGCACACTGTAGTCGCGGCACGGCGGCGGTCACTAGTTCACACGGACGCGGAGTCGATGCGCGCGTCTAACGATTTGTTATTCACAAATATATCTCGCGGGCGGTTATAACATTGGCGCTATAGTGCGCTCTGCAAGGTAGGTACATACATACAGATGACGACGACGACGACGGCGACGACGACTGATGACGACTATCGCCGCTCGCTTGGTGCCTATAAAGCGCGTACGCCGCGCCGCCCGCAACACACGTAACGACCCGCCGCTCGACCACACGCGCGCGCCACCCGTTTAACGCTCTATCCGCCCGGCACGATGCATTGTGTGTGTGTGTGTGTAGATCGTACGATATTGCGTATACATATACAACGCGATATGTGTGTATATATACACGTATACACCACCGGGTCTCGGTGGTCCGCGATAGCTTAGCGGCGGCAGTGGCAGCGACGATGATGACGACGGCGACAGTGATGATACCACACCGCCTCTGCGTCCTACGCGCTTCCCGCCGCCGCGCGATGATCAACCACGCCGCCGCGGACCTTGACCCGTCGCCCCGACGCCGCCGCCACCGCGTCTTCGCCGTCGCTGGTTTGACCTCCACGGTCACGCCGTGACGCCACACGCGAGCACGTTCGGCGTTGTAAATCTTGCCGTGTTGGCGTTACGCGCGCACGTCATAAACCTCGTGACTCGTACCGCGCGTGTAGATCAGGTGGCGATCCGCGTTTCGCGCGAGACACTCGTTGTTCCGAAACTGCTGTTTTGAAGTTTATTTATTTTTCTGTACACGATTTAAATC